GCCCATTAAACCGTTGGAAGCTCATATTCTCTGGAGAACCACTTTAAACTGAAAAACCTAAAGGGCTTGATAGAAGTAAGTAATATGAAATCGATCAATTATTAAAACTACAGAAAGGTAGAGGCTATAAAGTAATAAAAACAAAGAAATAGTCTTTAATATTACAAAGTAATAAGTAAGGCTAGGCAACAGATAGTAGAACAACTAATAAAATATCTTAGTAATCAAAAAGGGCTCATTGGGAATAAAGATTAAGGTAAAACATCGGAATTGGTCACAGACTTCAGTCTGTCAATACAAAACCACTCAAAAATTAAACACACAACCGGTAACAGATACCAGATGATCTCAAATCAAAAGCTAAAAACCAAGAATTAAATGACAAAATTATTATAATAAAAAGGAATAAGGCAACTCAATAACACTCTAAAATGTTTAAATAATGCAAAATGAAAACTCCCAAATATAAAACAAAAGACCAACAAGAAAGTTAATTAAAATCAATAATGATTACGCGAATACCTTAACCGAATTAAAACAGATTAATTACTAATAACCAAAATGGAGCAACACATACAACACTACAAAGTATATACGTCTTGTCTCGATGAAGACCGCATAGGAGATGATCACAACGTCTTGTCTCAATGACGGCTATGCAGGAGAAGAAAATCCTATAACTTCGTGAGGCTCGACTAACCAATTAGAAAGATCGATAATCCTTTTGATGCGAGAGCAACCAATTAGTAGTTGAGAAGCATTAGGCCAGACCATATTTAGACATTCACAGAGCACAAAACAAGAAAACACATCATCATCATAAGGTCGTCAGTCCTAAGACTGGTTGATTTAATCTTCCCATTCCCCTAAAACTAGGTCTAACTCTACCCCTCCTAATTCCTGTTTCTGCCTCTAATATTTCTCTGACTTGACCTTCATTCCTGAGAAGGTGTCCTAACAACCTACCTCGCCTATTTCTTATTGACTTCCATAAAGTCCTCTGTTCTCCTATTCTTTCTAATACCTCTTCATCTCTAACCTTCTCTATCCACGGTATCCTCATTATTCGCCTGTAACACCACATTTCGGACGCTTCTAACCTTTTCTTTACCCCTGCACCAACTGTCCATGTTTCGCACCCGCCGCGCCCCAAACACACCTTTAACAACCTTTTTCGAATTTTCAATTTAACTGATCTTGAACATAGAAGTGACGTCTTTTTATATTTTAAGGCGACTCGACCCTGCGCTATCATCTGCTTTGTATCCCTTCTACTCCTTTCGTCCTGACTTATATGACTTTCTAGATACCTAAAATCGGCAACTTCTTCTAATTTTTCGTCTCCTTTCTTTATATTCGCCTTTTCCCTACTTTTTCTTCCCTTGCATACCAGTTTTTACTTTTATTTATTTTCACACAATACTGTTTTGTCAGTACCACGTCCATTTTATTTAAACCTATCTTTAACTCCTTCTTGCTACATGCTAATACTGCTGTATCGTTACGATCTCAGGGCTGTTAGAGTGCTAAACTTGAAAAGGTCCCTAACGACATTTGCAAATGTCTTATCTTGTCTTGTTTTTTTCAGCGTCCTTTTTCGCAAGCTGGACGAGTTTTAAAAAATATGTGGCACAACGTGAGATTTCAGTTTTTTACAATCAACAGTTAATGAAAAATGTACATAATTTTCTATGTCATTTTTAAAATCAAATTGAACTTGTCTTTGATGGTCTATCACTTCGACGAGCTGCTAGAAACCATTGCACTTTAATTGTAAAATCATTTGGTAGTACACGGAAAATTTTTTTCCGGCGTACTTTGAGTGGTACTTGAACAACACAATAGCACAAAACAATACCAGTAACTGTTGTTTGGAGTCAGCATTGCTTGAAATCGATAAAAAATTGATAAATATATGCACTCGATCTGATGCGTCAAATTTTTACGTTGTAATTGTCATAAGACGAGGGTCATGGTACTACAGCAGTACATCGTGATGGCACAATCTCATGGGGGAACTCCCGGGCCATTTGAATTCGAAAATTCTTTAGATGCTAAATAACTGTCCAAATAATTTATCGGAAAATTATTTAAAAAAAAGTTGCATTACAAATATGGATACTTATACGACAGTTTGAGTTTTTGTAGGGTTAAATTCAATGCACTAGTGAATTAATTTTTGATTTAACTTTATCCACTACAGATAACCTCAAATTAATAATATATATATATATCTATAGCTGCTATCATTTCCTCGTCAAGAACTGAATAAGAGCCATCGATTTTACGCGCCACTAAACTAAACTACGGGGTGGTGACAGTAGCAACCTCAATTATACTGTAGCGAGCACGAGCGTATTTGTGTGCGATCGGGCACACGTATGCGTGAACGGCTTGTCGATTCGCCGACTAGCCGCGGGC